ACCTGTTAAAACTTTACTTCAAATCGGCTATAATAAGCAAATACTTTAAGAACCACAAACAATTTTATTCCTACGAATTTTATATACATACATATGTACATATATCTACGTATTTTTTGTTAATATTTAACATTCTTCTACCTCCAACTGAACATGAAATGGCTGCGCAATGTCACATAAAGAATCAGCATCAGAGTCGGTGTCCGTTGAGCAATCTGATGTATTTAAATGGTCGGAATGCGGTTCAACGTTTGGAGCTTTCAAAAGTTCAATAACTTCTTTAGGTAATTTTTTCTTTTGATTTTGTTGTTGTCTCTTATTTAAAGATATGCTTGAAAGGAATGGATCAGAGGAATCCATTGCTCTTTGGAAGACGTCGGCCATATTATTAGTTCTACTATTTTGTCTAGCATGAGATCGCCTGTCGCTCTTATAATATTTATTGCGGGATTCTGAAACACTTTCACCAAGACAGCCTAGGGGCACTACAGAGGCTGCGATTATTTGTGCACCGTGTATTAAAATTTTATGTAGAGTCGGTGACATCGGATACCACGGGTACTTTTCCATATACAACGAATATGTCTTTTCCGAGTACTGCTTAAACTTTAGGGCGCTAATCTCGTATTCAGAAGAAATGGCGATCAAAATTATGTGAAAACTGTGCAGTAAGTCGGTGTCAAACCCTAATATTGAAGAAAATAGCGTAACATCTGAGAAAGCTCTTCTGGCAGTATTGCCATCATTCATGTTTCCGCTACCGCTCTGCTTTGGTCTATTCACATGAAGTCCCATTTCCGTCCATAACCGTTCTTGAATAAGTTTTTTACGGGCCTCAATAATTTTCTTATCATTTTCATCTCTTATTTGCCATTTTTTTACTTCAATCCTATATGACACATTAAGAACAAACTCTCAAGGTTCTTATCCAAGCATGAAGGGGACTAATGCCATACTTCAGTTTATCAGGCCTTGCCTTAAAATGTGCAGAGTTTACATCTTTTGTTTGCATGAAAGCTTTAGGTCCTGCTCCACAGATGGGACATAATTGACAAGATTTAATACCTGACAAGATATTTAACACTTTTCCGTCTATTAGAGTCATATGGAGATCAAAGAACACCGTGATATTTCGGTTGCCGAAGTCTGTATAAATAAATGGCTTTAAATTTCCTATTTGTAGATCCAAGTCTTCTTTTTCCATTAAAATGTGCTCCCTTGTTTCCTTTATAAATTGTATTTTTAGTGGTCTGCAAAACCGCACAGACTGTGGAGTGGAATTATTCCAAATCACGCTTCCTGAAATTTCACTCAGTTTTAAAGGTATAATAGCTCACAATAAGCCTAAGTTCAGCGATTTCAGGAAAACTAATGAAGACTTGTTCTTGTACTAAAATTAGGCTTTTGGCGATGTGGTCCAATAAATTCTGCAATGAAACTTGAGCGACAGTTTCATCGATGCTTATTCCAAGGGGTCTGCATAACTTGGGTATATATTGCAGTGTTGTTGTTTATTTAAAGCTCTCATGTTGTTATATTGTGTTTTAGTATATGAATTATCGAGCAAGAATGCAAGGGCTTCATCTGGAGTTATTGGTATTGGATCCTTTGAACAAAGCTTTTGTTTTACACACATTCTTTTAAAACAAAGGCTACGTCTCTATTAGATTTTTTTGCTGATAACGTAGCGGCATGTACAAGTAGCGAAGTATCGTGCTCATACGAAAGATCGCTAGCCAATTTCCGTTTCAATCGGGGTCCAGCGTCATTATAAGTTAAATGGGGTCGTCCTACATTATTGGGCTTTTTTGTGTTATTATTGTCAACAATTATGACTATATTTCCAGATAATTGTCGGTTGTATTTCCGTAAATTTAGTGTAGTAAAAGCGACAAAGTTTGCTACTTTTTTGCGTATTTCTCTTTCTTTATCAATACTTAAAAGAGATTTCCCAATTCTAGTAAAGATATACTCTGTTATCGCGTCTTTTTTCTTATAATTTCTACACCAAATAGTTAGAAGCTCTGCATGTGGAAATTCGAACTTTACTAAAAATGTAAAATTTTGTTAAAATAGGCAAAAATGAGCAAAAACTGTTACTAGGCCAATAAAATCTAATTATTAGTAAGCATTTTTGTATTATTAGCTCGTCTAATAACTTGTCAGCTTGCTAGTTCTACTCCACGGAACACAAACATATTGTTAAGTATTATTTTTTAAATATGCACTACAAATATATTAAATAAAAGCAACATTTAACACACACAAGATATAACCATTAACTCACTGTATTGAACATACTTTGACCTTTATTATCCATATCTGATTTTCTTTCTTTTATAATAACACAACCGTTCACAAGACTTTAAAGTTTACTAATAATTTTGCTCCAAATCTGGCAAAATAATAGCTGATCAGACACATGACTTTGAAGGCAAACTAAGAGCACAAGGTTGAAACTTCAAATCTGTTATTGGGACATTTTCTTAGTTGATATATGTACTTTTAGAAAAATAACTGATATCAAGAATATATTGCTATAAAAATCTTGAATTTATGCCAAAAGAAATCCAATTCCGGCCAGTGTGCCTTGTAGCAAATCTTAAATTATTGAAATTTTTGGTGATGCCCCATGATGTTGATAATTTAAGAACCATCCTAATATCTAGCCCTGACCGCGATGATAAAGTAACCGAATTTACATTTTGATGCAAAAAAGTTGTTAGAGCATCTAGGAGCTTTAAATCGCCCTTGATCTATTAAAATGAAACGCAAATTCTAAAATTTAAGCCCATTTTTTTTTTTTTATATGTAGGTTAGTGAATAATAGAGAGGACTTGGTTGGTCGACGTACATAATGTTAGGTCGACAAAGGTGACAACGACAGCATTGACTTGGACAAAAACGAGATGTACAACAACAAGGCTAATAGCCAATTGTACGCGATGGCGGCGACTACGAAAACGACCACGAGGAGCACGATAGCGACGACCACGACAACGACGACGACAACGACGACGACGACGATAAATGACTTAACGCGCGATTGTTCCCGTTTCACTTTGTCGGCGGCGATAGTAGTGAAGGTGACGCGAACGTAACTCCTGTCACGGTTGACTTTGGCGTTAATGACGTCTATGCTAACTGTGACCGCGACGATGACAGTTACAATGGTTGTGTTTGTTGTAACTACTTTTACTGGCAAGGTGGTGGTGCAAGTAGTATAAATTTGGATTTTTTTATTACTTTTGTTACTTTGCTTAGTGTCGTTGTTGTTGTTGGATATGGTTACAATTTCTTGTTGGTTAAGGATAACAAAGCTGGGGTTGTCGTTGTCCACATCAAAGACAACATCGACATTATCTATACGACGATGGTGGTGATGCATATTGTACACCAACAAAAAAGGCTCACGACGACACTCATGTGGGACGGATGGAACGCAAACGGCGCTATAATGTTGTTCTGTTGTTGTTTCTAATTTTCTTGTTGCTGACGTGCCGACACAATTGCTTCACACGAAATTTTGCATAACAAAAGTGTACGACGAGCGAACGTACATATGTACATATGTAGATACCCGACAAGCAAATCGTCCGACCAATGTCAAACCACAGCAATAAAAAAATAGGAAACAAATTGGGATTGTAGTGCAAATTTTAGATTTTGATTAGGTGACGAGGAAAGGTTGTTTTTTTACACGTTTTAGTTGAGTTACACAAACGTTTTTGTTGTTGTTGTTGTTGACATCTAGCTTATTGCAAGTAAAAGCTGTGAGTTCATTTGTTACCGCCTGCACTTTTGGGTCGGCTTGTGAAAGTGACCGCGTTGTTTGTTACACAGCCACTCTCTTTTCACTCGCACTCTGTCTCTCTCTCTCTCTCTCTCTCTCTCTCTTCACAGTAGTTCTTCACACTT